CCCCGAAATTCGACTATTGGAAGCAAGAGTATAAGAACTAATGTAATAAGGATTTCTTGCTAGATTAAAAGGCAAACCACTTGAATAAAACATTCTAGCAATTTCGGAATCCAATTGGTCACGTGTTGTCAAATTAAAAGCATTTTCTATTGCACTATTCTTTCTTTTCCTTTCCTCCAAAACATAACAATCCTTAGAACACATATTATCCGATGGCAATGGCACTCTTTTCCCCAATTTAGTTTGCATTCTCAACTTGGCTTCATCTTCAATCTTTTGCATTTCACATGTATCTTTCATAGTTACTTTTCCACAAGCCCCAATTCCACATCCTTGTAATTTTAACAAATGTGCTCTCACTCTTGTGTATGAACTTGTCTTAGTTGCATTACAAAAATTGCATTGCCAAATAATATTACCACCCTTTTCATTAGATTTATCAAGTTTTGTAACATATTTCCAAAGAGGTTTAGACAAATCATCATCCATAGCATTACCACTCATAACTTCAAAAGAAAAATAATTTCAAATGCTTAAATAAGATAGGAGTGATATTACCCAAAATTTGACAAAAATATCTTCTTCTTGATCTTGCAAATGATTCTTCAAATGAATTTTTTTCTGAAATTTTATGAAGATTTTCGGCCATTAACATTGATGAAGAATAGTGAGAGTTTTTATGCAAGTTTTATTGTTTGTTAAAGGGTAAAATTGTACAAATTAATTCAAACAAAATATCAATTTTATAAAAAAGAATACAGCTATTGACGTCAATAGGAAAAGACTGAATGGCTTCTTCACAGTTTTGCCCTACCATTTTGAATTTTTTATTAATAAAATGGACTTTTCAAAATTTTCAACTGCTCCTCTGTCATTTCTCATTTCCCAGACACGCCAACAGTACCACACGTCTCCTTCGTCTTCTCTTTTCTCTGTCTTTCAATCTCTTTCTCATTTCTCCAGCCGTTGCTCAACTATTCAGGCATCGATGGAGCTTCAAAAGTCGAAGACAGAGCTGAAATTATATCAAAACAAGAAGGTATGTTCAGTTCCAGATTTCAGTTTCCCTACGCAAATAACTTGAAAAGGAAAAACACGAATCAACCCACCTAAGCCTCCGACACGTTGCAGCATCTCCGACACGTGTCGGCGACGTGTCGGAGGCGTATCGGTGTCCGATACGTATCGGACACCAATACGCTATCACCGGCAGCGTGTCGGTGCTTCTGAGTACTAGGGAGAGAGAATTTTTTTAGGTACATTAATATTAACAAGGATATGTACAATGGTGCAAACACGATTGTGAGATGTTGTGGTAGTGTTGAATAATTACATATTAGCAAGGTTCTGCTTTCTTTAACTTGGTTGTTACAGATTTTATCAACAAAATTAGACGCATTTTGTTAATCTTCTCTCGGCTTGTTCTTTAACTCTTTCTTCAGCTTTCTAATCAAGTTCCCTTTCTTTTTATTACCTTATCTATCTTTCTTTTTTCTACATTTCACATTTTTTTTCTTATCCTTCCTTCCTCAGTTCATCTAAGATCTTTAAACATTTTCTATTGATCTTTTATACTTAATTCTAAAAGAATTGACTCTAGCTTAATCTTTAAATAAATCGTTTGGATTTGCTACTAACCTGTTTGATCTTTCTCTACTTTATTGCCATGACTATTGTCGTGCAATACTGTTGCAGATATTGTTGTATTTCCCCGTCTTTTTACCTGATATTTTCTCTCGTGTTTCTTTCACCTAGTATTTTTTAACTTCAAAGTGAATTGTAAAGGATTTATTCAATGTCAATACATGATCTATGTTTTCTTCCTAAGAAATTATTGATGCCACTTCTCTTGCCCCATATTTCTAGCTTTATACTTTTGCTTATTCTTTCCTCATCCAGTATCTATAATCAATTAATCACTAACTTTATGCTTTGTAAATGGTTCACTTGTTGTCAACATACAAAACTAAGTTTTGCTCCACTCGGAAAAAAAAATTGAATCTGCCACTTGGCAAAGAATTGACAGGTCAGGAAGAACTTCCACCCATTCTCGAATCAATTAGATTTAAGCAGCAATAGAGTTCTGTATCATACAGATATGCTAGATATACTATGATGCCGATTCAATCAAGAACCCATGTGGTGAGTTTTGAGAATTGTTTTACAAATAGTGATTAGATGAAGCTGGGAAATCTGGTGAAACATGTGGTGAGTGTTTATTTAAGTTCATTTTCAAAACTAATTTATTCCTAGGTAGGTGCTTGTGCTTCAAAATAGGATATGATTGCTTTAATGTCCTTTAGTTTTCTATACATGTGGCCCCCCCCCCCCCCCCTGTTGAGTTGCATCTTCACAAGGAAAAAACATTCGAGCAAACTCTTGAGGGAATAAAGATCTGTAAAATTATTAATTTGAGGAAACTGCTCGGTAAAGTTATTTGACTTATTTCAGAATAAAGTTTATATGTATTTTAGCATGGCCAAATATCAATAGCATGTGACCAAGTATTGTGGAATCAAATGATTTAGATGAAAAATGACTAACAAAGCCTAATTCAACAAAGTGCAACCTTTTGCTGTCGAAGACCCGTTACAGTGCCCATGCTGTGTGTATTCACTGTTAGCTCTTTCGCGGAACCTATGTGCACTTCTAATTATTGCATGAGTGGAAATTGTTTAACTAAATGAATGAAAATGGTTATGTAAGTGAATGAGTTGGTGGTTGTTATATATCCCTGATAAATATTGCACTTTTTACTAGACACACTAAGCATTTTGGGAAGTGTTCATAAATGGTTTTAAACTATAAGTAGATAGAAATAAGTGATGGATAAGTGTGAAATACTTGTGGATCCCACGAAATGAAAAAGTGGTTTTATAAACAGTCTATATTAGCCAAACATGGGCTAAGTTAGAAAATTAAAGAAAATATTTCTTGCAAAAAAGACCAAGTGCTTCTTTGGTAATGCTTAAGTTGTAAGTCCTACAAAATGTATGGATAATAAGTGGGTAGTAAGTTGTGGGTCCTACGAAATATGTGAATTATAAGTGTTGCATAAATTATTATTTAAGCTTTGCCAAACATGCTCTAATTTGCTAATTAGAAGCAAAAAAATAAAAAATCAATAAATAACTAGCTCTTCCAGTTTTGGTTATTTCTCCTATGAATGTTAATACGCCTGTGGGAATTTCTGGTGAGCATATTAGAATTCTAGTTACTCCTTAGGGTTCCCAATTTAGTAACTTGATGCTGGAACTCCGACTTCGCAAGTTGCTCTATGAGCCTGTAGCCAGGTCTCACAATTCATGTGTGATCTGTTTTTGCGTAATGCTATGGAACTTAAAAAGCCTTTTCATAATTTATCCTTTTTGTGCATAAATTCCTCCTTTTGGGAGATGAGGAAGTGGCCACGACTAGAAAATTTGCCAGTTTCTGTTTCGATCCACTTAATTATTCCTTTCCCCTACTTTCCACACAGACATTCTTATATTGGTTGTCTATTTAGTGCTCATAATTTTGATTGTGATGCTAAATTCCCTTATGTATCTCAGATAATTCAGTTTCAAGTCTAGTCTATAATAATGTTTTCCTATGATTGAATGCTCCCTACAAGTTCATGTGAAGATGATCCATTCACCGCTATGCATAAAATTATGTAGTTGAGCTGAAATGTGATGAATCAAGTTGATCTTTTTTGACCTGTTGTTACTGTAAACCTTTTTCTAATTTCACGCTCCTCTCAGTGTGATTTTCTGTGAGGCGGTAGCCATATATGGAGTTATCGTGGCTATCATTCTTCAAACAAAGCTGGAGAGTGTGCCTTCATCAAAGATTTATGATCCAGAGTCCCTTAGAGCAGGCTATGCCATCTTTGCATCTGGAATAATTGTCGGATTTGCAAATCTTGTTTGTGGGTGAGTTATCCTGCTCTCTTTTTACGTGTAGTTCAATGAGTCCCATTTATATTTTAATATTTACTAATTCTTTCGCACTCCTTTTTCTGTCATTTCTTTGACGAAGACTGTGTGTGGGAATAATTGGAAGCAGCTGCGCTTTATCTGATGCACAAAACTCTTCACTCTTTGTCAAGATCCTTGTTATTGAGATTTTCGGTAGTGCTCTTGGACTGTTCGGCGTGATTGTAGGCATTATCATGTCAGCTCAAGCAACATGGCCGTCTAAGGGATGAGTTCTTATTTTGTACCAACTGTTTTTAGGATCGGGTGGTTTTAATATTTTGTCTTCATCAAGTGCTTGTAGTTTTGATGGGTATTTTGTTTTTTTTTTTTTTTGTCGTCCTGCGATGTAAAAGTGAAGAACCTTTGGCAAAAACATGTTACCAACAATCTCGTACTGTATGTAATTTATTTATTCTCGGTTAATAAATTTGGTTTGAGTTCCAATGAAACGTGACTTTTTTTGGTTTATATCGAGATATTGTGCAGTAATGTGTATTCATGAGGTGGTTGAGCACGTTTTCTAATCTTTGGTGGGTCATCTTGGCAGTACACCCAGGTGGTAACAAGGTCCCCATCCTGCCCTGTCCCCGCCTCCTAAAAATTCCCAACGGTCAGGGTCGGGGAGGGCCACCCCTTTGTCATTCCTAGCCCCACAAAAAGAAGAAACACGTTATCCCTACTTTATTTTGCATTTTGCTTTTGCTCAAAAGCAAATGAATTAGACCTGACAGCAAAAAGGTTTTAAAAGTTAACGTGAGCCAAGACGTATAATCCGCACTTAATTCAAAATTAAGGGGCTCAATGCTAGAACCTTTTGAAGATATTGTGTTGTAAGGTTATTATCAAAGACTGGGGGCTGCAAAATCTTCTGGTGGGCCCACTGAATTTTGACTTCTTCACCCCACAATTGAGCAACTTCGTCATTTGCACCCAAACAATGTGTATATGGGAATAATGATATCTAGCACTAGTAATTTTAGAGCATCATTTAAGTGGCCAAACTTGATATTTTCAATTAAATAAATCATCTGATATTGTATTTAAGTAAAATTATCATTTAATAATATGCAGTTGTCACCAAAACTGCTACTTGATGCCAGTGGTACTGAATAATATTACTCTATATATAAAAAATATAAGTTGGGAACATTTCAAGCCGGGATTATTTTGATGTAGACACAATCGAAATAACAATGAAAACCACCTCTTTTTAGCGCACACTTGTGGTGGTTGGTGATCCAAATAAGATTAATATGCTATTATTATCATAAGAAAGTAAGTAGTGGTGTCCACTAGGATGTTTAGTGAAATGTGCGGCATTTAGCAAGATTGGAATGACCTTATTGTCAAACAAAAATAATGCCACCTTAGAATCTCAATACTACATGATATTTTGACCAATTGTTATCAAGATTGGAGGTGTACCAAATTGGCTTATGTACAACTACTTCAAGAGATGATTATAAATAATCAATTTTATTTTTTTGATTCACGCCACCTTAATTTTTTTTATCCCTTCCAATCCAGTCGACCCTAAAGAATAGATAACCACCATTTGTATCACATGCCTTATGATACACCTAAAGTTGATTGTTGAACAAGAATCAGTGGAGGAAAAGAAGGAAGAAAAAAGTGACAAAATAGAGTATTATTTTGAGTAAGGAAAGTGAGGTTCAACTGAATTGACGTGGTAGCGTTCATTAAAATCAACAAGTGAATCAAGTCATGAAACCGAAAAGCTCAAAAAATTGAGTCGTGCCTTAAAAGGTGGTTGAGCTCGTACTTCAAATGGTTAAATTCAATATGTCAAACTTATTGTAAACGCATGTTACATCACAAAAAGAAATTGTGATTATAAATGGTGAATTTGGGACAATCTTTCTGAGGAAAATGGTGTCTATCCTAAGGAAGCTTTGTAGACATGCAATACCTATATGTCCATCAATTATAAACTATAGAAAGACTTCGATAAATGAGCATGTTTGCCTAAAAAGGAAACTTAGACTTGCTTTTAAATAAAATTTGCTTTTAAAAACATGTTACTTTCAAAATAGAAACACACATATATTTAATTTTGACTAATAAAAAATTATTTATTTTGAAACTTACTCATTTAATTATTAACATGTTTAAGTTTAACTAAACATGCGTGGGGAATGTTAAGTTATGTTTGGCTATAGCCTTAGATAATAGTTTTTTCCGTTTTAGCCATGTCATTTATTGGGCAGCAATTTCAAAGAATTTCGTCTAATTATAATATTAGATCTTTTAAGTAAATCTAATTACAAGAATAAGTAATCAAAATAATTTATGTAGTCCATTTTAAAAAATTATTTTTTATTTTTACTTAATTCATGTATATCATTAAAGTAAGAGCATGATTGGGTCCCATCTTTTGGAAAAAATGTATTTTGGAATAATGATTTGATAAAGAATGTGTGATTAAAAAATAAGAAGAAATTTTGAATATGCATGTAATATTAATTTATTGAAAAATGTATGGTTAAAAATAAAAAAGAGAAAAATATATTTTGATTATAATGGGTACCAAATCAGGGCTAGACCGAGATCAGTAATTTAGCCCCTGTTTGGGCCACATTCTTTTTTTCATTTGTCTTGAATATCTACTAAGTTTTTGTTTGATCCACATTATTTTTTTTCATTCTCATTCTTCTACTCATTTTCAACCACACATTCTTCAATAAAATAATATTTTCCATCACATCAATAACTTTTCCTTTTTTTTTCAACCACACATTCTCCATCAATCTACTATTCCAAAATACATTCTTCCAAAATAATGTGGCTCAAAGACACCCTAAAATTCAACTCAATTTATAAAGAATAATATCGTTAAATAATTATATGTCTACAAGATAACACTAATGGTCTATACCATATCAGCACCCCCTCCCCCCAAGCTAGAGAATGTCCTTTGAATCTATTATCCTTTTTGTCTCACACCAGGGGCGGAGGCCCATTAGGTCCAGTGCCGGCAAATGCCCGCACTGAACTTTTGGGCCAATTTTTTTTTTTTTTTTAATTAAACCCACATCCCAGCCCAAAACATCCAAGCCCAATTTTGTATAATCCTCAGCCCTGCCCCCGCTGGTAATCGAGGTTTGGCTTGCATCTTGCTGGACGCTGGTTGCTCCCTCGATCCCTCCTGCCTACCTGCATTCAGCCTTTGGCCATTTGCCTATGTGAGGTAAGTGTGAGTTATTTGAATTTGTAACTAGAAATTGAAATCATGTATTGCACCATGAATTGAGTATACTATTGTCCTGGGAAATAAAATTTGAATAAATGAATTGCTAATAGTGATGCTATTAACTACATGAATAGAATAGTCCTCTAAATTTCCCAGTAGTAATTGTCTAATTGAATATGAAATGTTTAAATTCATATATCAAATGAAGAGATACTTTGAAAGAAAAACGAATGTAAAAAATGTTGATGACGGAATATTGAATAATGTGGAATTTGATGTCACAAAACTTCCAACTGATCCTGGACCAAGGATACCCATATTGGATTACAATCAGAACATTCAAGATGAAGTTCGAAGAACATATATGCTAAAAGGTCCTTGTCAACCCCAAGATCACGACTTTCCAAAATGACAATTTGGAGTAATCGCTAAACGGTTCAATTCTTCTTAGTTTAAAGAGTTCGATACTTGGTTGGAATACAGTGTAGAAAAGGATGCTGCTTATTGTTTGTATTGTTATCTTTTCAGAACAACTTCTGGAAAGCAAGGTGGAGGTGAGTCTTTTGTTGGTGAAAGTTTTACATATTGGAAAAAAAAAAAAAAAAAAGACTTCACACTCATGTTGGAGTTCATGATAGTGCACATAATCAAGCTCGCATTAAGTGCGAAAATCTGACGAATCAAGAGCAACACATTCAATCAACTTTACACAAACAGTCATAATAAGTAAGAAGTGCGTATGTTACACGTCTTAATGCTTCTATTGATTGTGTTCGAATTCTATTACGACAAGGGCATTCATTTCGGGGTCATGATGAATCCATGGATTCTCTCAATCCTGGTAATTTCTTAGTTCTATTGCAATTTTTGGCTGCTTATAATGAAGATATAAATGCCGTCACATTGGGAAATGCACCTCAAAATTGCAAATTGACATCACCTGATATTCAAAAAGATATAGTAAGTGCTTGTGCTGTTGAAACAATCAATGTCATTATCAAAGATGTTGGCAATTCACTGTTTTCTATTCTAGTTGATGAATCTCGTGATGTGTCGATGAAGGAGCAAATGTCAATTGTATTACGTTATGTAGACATAAGTGGATAAGTGAATGAACGTTTCATTGGGATTGAACACCTTACAAGTACAACGGCTCTATCACTTAAAGCTGGAATTGATAAGGTCTTCTCCAGATATAACTTGAGAATGTCTAGATTGAGAGGACAGGGTTATGATGGGACAAGTAATATGCAAGGGAAGTTTAATGGTCTGAAAGCACTCATTTTGAAGAAAAATTCATGTGCTTATTACATTCAATGTTTTGCTCATCAACTTCAACTAGCTCTTGTAGCTGTAGCAAAGAAGAACATTCCTATTACTAACTTCTTTCGTGTGGTTGGTGATATGGTAAATACTGTTGGTGCATCTTTTAAACGTTGTGATCTTCTTCGAGAAAAACAATCAGACTTTATTGTTGAGGCAATGGAAAAAGGTGAGATTTTAAGCGGTCGGGGACTTAATCAAGAAACAACTCTTCAACGTTCTGATGATACACGATGGGGTTCACATTATAATTCGTTGGTCAGCTTACTTGCCATGTTTTCTTTTGTTAGTGATGTGCTTGGAATAATTGTTGAAGATGAAGCTTGCTCTTGTGATCAAAGATCTGATGCAACAAATTTATTGGAGTCGATACATACATTTGATTTTGCATTTAATCTACAGTTGATGAGAAACATTTTGGGGATATCAGATGAACTGTCGAAGGCATTGCAAAGAAAAGATCAAGATATTGTGAATACAATACAATTGGTGAAATTATGCAAACGACGACTCCCAATAATGAGGGACAAAGGGTGGGACTTTTTTTTTTTTTGAAAAAGTATGTGCTTTCTGTCAACAACATTATATTGATGTACTTGACATGGATGATATGTTTGTACTTTGTGGTCGTCTTCAGCGTAATCCTCCAGGAATTACAAATTTATATCATTACCAGGTAGATTTATTCTACTCTAT